CCAGAAATTATTTTTAAATGTGCTGAGACTGCGTGGGAACAAAGTCAGTCCTGTCACCACCAGCAGATGTTTAACGATGATTTCATGACTATTTTTGGAAAGTTCTATCATTATTTTCAGTGCAGGCTCTACAAATGCATAATGTTCCCAGTGTTTCGGCATTGTTCTCCTGTGTGTTTGCTCAAAAAATATAATCAACATTAAAAGACGCATTTTCGCTCCAACAATATCATAAAATGAAGCTTCACTGCTTTATGCCACCACATTTTCCCCTCTGTCTGTGTCTCCCTCCTCCACACATGCTCCTACAGAGCTTAACATGCAAGCGTGCAACCCTCAGGCTGAGGAAACTATTTATGGTGAAAGTCGGCACAAAGTGTAAACACATGTCCAGCATCCTTTGAAAAGACAAATATTTCACTCCTTTTTCTCCCTTTTTTTCTCGACGAGTGACTCCCCTCCCCTCACCCTCCACCCTCCATACCCTCCACCTTCCGCACCCACCTCCACCATATCACATTTAATTCCGTGCTTTTGAGCCGAAGGGGAAGCATAAATCACTGGATGAAAAGGAGATAGGAGCAGAGAAACACGCAACCATGTCTGAGCAAATGTCTGTGAGTGGGGGGGACATATGGGTGGAAGGAGAGCTGCTGGGCCTGTTTGCGTGGTTGGGTCGACATTTTCCCTGATGTCTGTATGCCCTAAAAAACAATCAAGGCCCTGTCACACCAGAAAGTGGCAGATTGTTGAAGAATGCAGTGCTGGAGGCTCGGTGATGTGGTGACTACTTAGAGTTGGTGAACTATACTGGTGACAGGTGCCCTAATAGCCTAAAGGTTAACACACATGATTCTAGCATTCTCTTAGTGTCTATTGGGCATAGAATAAAGGAAAATGCATTGAATAAATAAAACATTAACCTTATGAGGAGGAACCTTCTGATCTGAATTTGGTAGGCAGCCTTGAGGTACTCCACACAGCTGAGTCTCACCAGAAAACATGTGCAGTTGCTCATGGGTTTAACTAAACAGTGTTGCAGTTCAGTTTGGCTATATATCATTTTATTATCTAAACACAGTAAACCTCAGAATGTGGCAAATCATTAGTGTATTTTTAACATCTATCCCAAAACATCTGGGAACAGCAGAGTGAAAAGAGGGAATCACAAATTAGAGGCGGTAGAAAAAGCCAAAGGACTGTTAAAAACATTGTGAGATTGAATAACCGTAAATCGATAGCCATGTCAAATATATCCACATCATCACTCAGCAACAAAACACGGCCCATTCCCCATCATAATGTCGATGAAAGCAGCTTTACAGCGGAGAATCGAGGAAGAGCATCGTGGTTGTTGTAAAAGTTTCAAACTATGTAGTCGGACACATGATTTAGCTACTCTGCATTGTGCTGTTGTTTCAATTAAAGGCCAATAATATCTCGTAAATCCTTACACTTACCCAATAACACAATGGCAAACTCAAAGTGTGTAATGTTCCATGTAATAATCAAGGCATTTGTCTTTGATTTGTAAATCTACCTAGTTAGGATCAATTTTAAAGCTGACAAAAAAAAGTTTCAGTGTATTGATACCACTATCTGCTCCTTCAACATCTGTACTAATGTTTTTGTGCATGTTAAAAATTGCAATAATGAAATGTATTATAGTGATCCTGCAATGTTTTGTATCTGTGGGTCACATTAATTATTACAGTTTACAGATGAAAGCTGTTATGCTTTTTATCACCACATCTGTCCAACTTCTAATTAGGTCAATTTTTTAGGTTTCTGGATTATCACATAACCACGATACCAGATGTTGTCTTTAGACAGCAAGCCCCGTTTACTGTCTACTGATGGTGACTGGGGTGTGATGGATGAAAAAGTATGTAAGTGGCCTTGCCTCTGAAAAATCTGATCAGTTTATCAAATAGTTTGGTTTCTCTAAAGCTAAATGAGCAAGCTGACTTTATGTTTTTCCCATAACAAAGGATGGATGATTACATTCAGGTATATCAGGGTGTTATAACACTTAATTGTTGTCATAAGTTTAAACGTCAGCCCCTTTTCTGCCGTAGTCGGCAAAAATGTTGATGTGTCTGATATTCTCTGTTCGGTTGGCACCCACATAAAAGAAGGATGATGGAAACAAAGGGTTCTCGGTTATAAAAAACAAACAAACTTTGAACTCTCCCTTAATCCTGTAACTAAAGTTCTTTAATGCCACATGTCTGTGATGAAAAGCAAAAAAGGATTGCTCTTTTTGAGATTCAGAAGACAAATGATGTAGTTCACCACAAACTAGCTCATTTCTTATCGTGCTATTTGTGAATTAACTTTTGTTGCGCAAAGAGACTTAAATAATGTCCAAAGCTGTGGAAAAGTATTTATGTTTACGACCACTTTTGTTGAAAATTCATGGGTCATATCCAATAAATCTCTGCATTTATGTGTCTGTCTCAGCTGATCTTAATGGATATTTTTATAGTACTGTCGAGCAGCCATTTGAGCTTGATGCAAGAGTTAATCAGTTAATTCATGCTGCAGACTCCACGGTGCTAAAATAACCTCCTTTCATTAGACATGGTCAAGAACTTAGAGAATTAGGCAGAGAGGTCTAATTAAATGTGCACCAACATTAATGGTATAACAAGTATATTTAAATGGAAAAAATCATACAATTGTACAATTCTGATGTTGATTTGATCACTTTCATTCTCAAACTCATCTTGAACTCAGATAAAGTTTCTGTTTTATAGTCTTCAGAAATGGTGGTACAAATGAATTGGCTTTGCAACAGTGCTCGTGATTTAATGTCAAAAGATGCAACTTATTTCTTGATTTTCCCAGTTTGGATTGTTTTACTTTAATTAGTTAGGGTTAGGGTTAGGGTTAGGGTTAGGGTTAGGGCAGACATAACACTGGTTTAGCCATTGTACATGCAGCATGCATGAATTATTTATACGGCTGTTTGCAGTGGCTAAAACAAAAATAACTTATACAGTAAAAATTAGTCACCAGCTAGTATCATCACAAAAAATCATCAATTGGTCTGGGAAATTTTCCCAGACCAGTTTTTTTAAAGATTAAAAAAGAACGTTTCAGCATATAAAAACTAAATCTGATGATATGGGGGGTCTTTAGTGAGTTCATTAATATAATAGGTAGAGCCACAATAAAGATGTTTTGCACTCTGCACATGTACAGTGTGTGCAGGTGTACGAGATAAAGAGCTCTTAGGTCTTCGCTTCAGGCCAGCGATGAGAGAAACTAAAAAAAAAAGATTCACCTATGACAAATCTGATTTGCCATAAAGGGTCTTTTGGGTTCAGTCAGAGGTAAGTTAAACATATAGTTGTCCTGTAGAAATGTGTGTGTGCATACTAATTTTCACATCTTCATGGGGCCAGTCAGTTTATATGTGTTTTCCCTTTAGTGGCTAAATCTATGAAGTCACATGTGCCAAAGTAATCTTGCAGTCCCAGACATAAACATGAGGGAGAGAGATCACCAGTCTTGCCAGGAACACAGTGGCACTGGCAGGGCTTTTGGCATCTCTGCGCCCCCCCCGCTCTTCCACTTTGCCTCCTTCCTGCACCCCTGAAGTGCAAAGTTAATCCCCAAGCTCTATCCCCGTTTAAAGACAGGGACATCACGCAAACTTGCCTGTCTGTGATGCGTTCAAGCACACTCACAAACAAATGCACTCGCTCAGTTGCACATGCATGCAGCTTGCTGCCACAGTGTAGGAGAGAAAGAAGCTCACCAGGGGGTTAAGCAATGAGGCAGCTGCATTAGCAGCAGACTGAATTTCTGTCTTCCTTTTTTTCCCTGTCTATCTCAAATGTTACAGTCCTCAAACGTCCCCAGCGGCAGGCATGTGAAAGGCATGGTTGAGATAAGGAAAAGAAGAGACTTTTGAAGGGGCTCATCCTTTCATGGCTCATGCATCTGTGACTGCATGGTCACAGTCAAACGCACACCATAGACTGTGACACGTTTGTCAGATGAGCAAGTGTGGAAGAAGAGCTTTAAATAGGATATTGAGTTTGGGAGTTTACTCAGAACTAAAAGGAGATCATCTGTGGATAGCTGTCGGCTGGAAACAAATCAAAATTATATAGGTTATTGAACAAGATGGAGATTTTTTTCAGGATAACATATTATTTCTCTCTTACTATGGCCTGCGAAAACGACATCCCAAAGTTCTGCTTACATGTAGAAAGTGTATTCGGTGCTGAAATTCATTAAAAAACTTACCAGCTGAATGTTGTTCTGTTGACTGTCTGTAATGGATGCTTTTGAATATGGGAAAATGTTAAACAGGTGCCTTGGAATTCTGATAATTCGAGAATAGCAGATCTGCACTGAGCTAGCCTCTGAATGAATAGTAGAAGGTGGATATTGACCTCTGGTGGACAAACTGTGAATCATGCAGATGCTTAAACATCTGTTAACAAGAACAAGAAGAACAAGAAGAATCAGAGGGTATTAACCAAAAACTATCACAAAAATAACGTTTTTGACAGCATCCAGTGGTTTGAGCTGTTGTTCCTAAAATGATTGATGGTACAAAGTGAGACTATTTTTAATCAAAACTGTATGTGATGTCACAGGTCAGAGAGAAAAAATGTTAATCGTTAAATTTTACTTAAAAAAAGGATGGATGATCGATATTTGTTTACCAGGTTATAAGCTCTGCAAAAGATGCAAAAGTTATGTTTCTATTTTCATATGGGTTATATGAAAGGCCTTTCAGGGCACATCATAAGGAAATGAATGTGTAATCCTGCAGCCATAGATTCTGATCAGCAAAAATCTTCCTGATTCTGTCAGAGCTTCAGTAAGATTTCTAAACCTCTCCATAACAGGAAAAGAAAGCCACTGTGAAGTTAATTTTAACTGACAAGCGCTTTTTTTATTATTTTTTTTACAGAAACCGATCAAAGATTCAAATGGAAAAGTTTAACAAAGAGTGCCAAATTGTAGAGTAGCAATGACTGTACTTATTAGAAGTGCAGTTTTCGCATCTTTCGACAGGGGGCAACAATGAGCGAAAACGCCCCCGGAGGAGGCCAAAGTACTTCCGGGTTTATGCTGACGCGTCCCTCTCCCTTCCATTCACCGACGTGTCAGTCCTCTTGTGTCCAGAGCCGAGCAGCACTCAAACCGGTCACTCTAACGACATGGCCCCCAAAGGTAGCAACAAGCAGCAGTCAGAAGAAGACCTTCTCCTTCAGGACTTCAGCAGAAATCTGTCGGCAAAGTCCACAGCTTTGTTTTACGGAAATGCACTCATCGTTTCTGCCATCCCCATCTGTGAGTACCACAGACAGTAGAAACTGGCTGCTGCTAGCTGCCTTAGCTAGCACTTCTTCACTGGAGGAAAAGTGAGGAAAATAGGTGAAGAGGGGAAGTTTTGAGAACAGCTATGCAGAAAAGATGTACCGTATGACGCTTTAGTGTATTGGAAAGAACTAAAGTGGATAAAAACATTGTAACTTAACCCCGAAGAGCGCTCAGCTACGTTTGACGTGGACTAGTTACTCTTGGAAAATAGTAATGAGCAAGAGAGTCCAGGATATAACCCCATTACATGCCATTCAGGATGTAGTATTAAAAAATAGTCTAGTTTGTGGTATATGCGATTCTTCTCTCCTTTTTTTAATTTGTCAGCTAGCATTAGTAATTACTGAAGTGGCTGTATTTAATTTAAGAATAGACATGCATATAACAATACAGTTTCTTTGTTTTCGATTCCATTTGTTTTTCTTTTGCATTGCAATCAACTTTGATTTTGTTCCAAGTTATTTTCCTTTTGCACTTTTTGTAGTTTAGCAGGACTTGTTTAAAAAAGGGCTCATAAATGTAGAACAACATTAAAACTTTCATACAGTAATAAAACCTGGCTAACTTTAAGATCTACACAAAATAATGAGAGAAAAGTTAAAGCAGGTTAGTTTCTTAAAGACTGTTGGTGTCTATATATTTCAATATGGTCAGTGTAAGGATACTTAAAATGTCCCATAAGTGTGTTTTAAACTTATTTAGAAATATGTCAAACTTGAAAAGGGGATGTGATTAGTTTACTTAATTGTTCATTTTACCTTAATTTCTATGTGTTTGTGTCTTCCTAGGGCTGTTTTGGAGGATCTGGCACATGGACCTCGTCCAGTCTGCAGTTCTGTATGCAGTGATGACTTTGGTCAGCACCTACCTGGTTGCGTTTGCTTATAAGAACGTCAAGTTTGTGCTCAAACACAAGTAAGAGGGATAAATCCAGCATTCGCAGAGCCGGTGTGGAGTGCCTTGTTGTTTATGTGCTGTATTCTGATCATTATTATACTGGGTAAAGTTATTGTCTATACAATCCTGTTGACAGAACTGCTGTGTTTTGAGTAATGTTCTTTCATCCTTCAGAGTCGCCCAGAAACGTGAGGATGCCGTTTCCAAGGAAGTAACCAGGAAGTTGTCTGAGGCAGACAACCGTAAGATGTCCCGCAAGGAGAAAGACGAGAGGTGCAATAGTACATAATTCAGACTACTCTCTATCTAGTATTAAATGTCCACACTAGTCTGGGCTCAGTGTATGCTGTTAGATTTATTTTAAAATGGAGCTTTTCTTTGTTTTTGACCAGGATCCTTTGGAAGAAAAATGAGGTTGCTGACTACGAGGCCACCACCTTCTCTATCTTCTATAACAACACTCTCTTCTTGGTTCTCGTCATCGTCGCCTCCTTCTTCTTGCTGAAGAACTTCAACCCCACTGTGTATCCTTTTGCTTTGTATTTGCTCATTGGTGTCAATTCCATGAATTATGACAGACGATTATCTGAATTACCACAAAAATTTCCAAAGGACTGATCAGCGTTCACAATAACCGAATACATGTCTCCTAAATAATTCTTGAAGATAGGTTTTATTCATTCTTTTTTCCTTAACTCGCATTTTGCCAGCAACTACATCTTGTCCATCAGTGCCTCCTCGGGGCTCATCGCTCTGCTATCCACAGGCTCAAAGTAAAAGAAGAGGAAATGGGATGGGATCAGTAAGGGTTGGGGGGTTGGATTGGGGTTAAAAAAAGAGCTGTTGGTTGTTTTTGACTTGGGTTAGAAATTGGGTTTGTCAGAGGGTTGGAGCATCACATTTCAGTTTCATGAAATTCATGATCAAATGTCTGGAGTCTTTTTTCCTTCAGGGCTGTTTTTTTTGTAACAAATAAAGCAAACGAAGAAACTTGTGTGTCTGTGTGTGCACGGGCTGTTTAGTGATCTTCTGAGCCTTTTTCTGTTTGGAAACAAAGTTTTACTAAACTTAAACAATGTTACGGATGACAATGGGTTTATTTACTGATCACGCTTTCATATAGACTATTTACAGAAAAATCCCTTCTCAGAGGAGACAGTACACTGATGATTCCCAGGTTACACATAAAAAATAAAAGAATCAGTCACATTCAGAGCTATTCTTTCCACAGATCAAGATGTTGTAACATAAGTGATCTATTCCATGGATAATAGGACATGAAAAAAGACCTATTTTGGATTAACACAGAAAAATGTTTTTTGCTTGTTTGTCTTTGACTCCCAGTTCATAAATATTTGAATACATTTTTTAAACATTACTATTACAGTAGGAAGGCAGAAATAAAACTTGTCTGATCAAACTCAAGCAGCGGGCTCATCACACCCTAAAACATCTGGCCAAAACCTTTTAGTTTTCTCTTGTGCCACTTATCCCCAAGTTCCATATAGATGCACAGAAAATGCTATACCTACAGCTGGTGGGGCTAAAAATGTTGTTTAATATCAAACAATGGTCAGTAGATAACAAGTTTGCTCCCAGAATGCAGGTCCAATCCTACCGTATTACCTTTTACTTTGGGGTTGCTTTCTCTTTAGTTATTCCACTGCTCTGCACTTAATCTTTTTCCAAGAATCATACAAAAATAGATTTCACTTGGCAATCCAATGACAGATTCTTTTGATCCACTATCCGTATAAATGCCCCTTTTTTCTCCCATGATTTTGCCGACCAGAACCCAAACCCCATTTCCTTGTTGTTAAAGATGTCCCTGAATGTTAATCTATAGCAGGATTCAAGACACCACCTGGAACTCAAACTAACAGGCACGTGGTGACTCACACCTACACACCAGAATGCATGTCGGTACATATCACGTTTTCTTCCTATAAGAGTTGCATTGGAAGCAGCTGATAGTGGGAATGAAATGTTCAGTTTGTGGAGAGCTGGAGGAGGGTATGAATTCTACTGTGTCCAGTTTCAAAGCATAGGTTGCTACCTACTGATGTTAAGAGAGTGTTTATGCTGCCATTCCCATCTGTGAGTACCACAGACAGTAGGCAATAAATGTTCAACAGTGACAAAAAGGTTGGTTGACTAGGCAAGTGCCTGGCCAACGTCTATGCTTATCTCACTGATGGCTTGCTTTCCAGATGAAATTTGAAAAAGATCAGTGCATGAGGGAGACGACCAGGGTCATTACATTATAGAATGTGAATCAATCTGAGTTTAAGCTAGTTACTTTTGGAGTTGTTTTTCTACCCCAACAATTCTTAATATAATGCAAAAAATTCAATTTTTTTTGCTATTGATGCAGTAACAGTGTTGAAATGATAAAAAGACAAACCGAACATAAAGAAACTAAAGATTTTTCAGGAGACAAGAAAAGGGAGGAAGAAGGGGGCAAAGACTCACAAATGTTTGGACTGATGCAGTAACACAGATAGAACAATAAAATTACTCTATTTACATCTTATTTATATCATTTCCATACAGTACAGTGGAGTGTCATAAGCATGAGAGTCATTCTGATCCTTTTGCTTATGTTACAAGGTGTGCCTTCATGTTCTATGTACATGTAACATCTCCAAACAAAACAATATTTAAAAAATGTCAAAATAAATTTCATATTTAGTGACTAATCTAGAATAAATATTTTAATCTTTGCCACATCCAAAAATATTTGTTTGGATTCCACATTGTTCCCTCTGACAAGCAGGTTATGCATATTTTGTAGCCAAAGACAGAGCCGTCGCTGATTTTCAGATGGTCCATTTCCTCAGGGTTCTGAAGTAATGAGCATTGCATTTTCACTCCACAAGCCAGGGACAGGGTTATCACAATGGACACAAAAGTCCGCTGTTTTTCTATTTCTTTTTGCTTTGCAGGGCAATCTTTCTCTCCACCACGACGTTGCGAAGCAGATCAGCAGTTCCCCAAAATGACCACACGAGGGCGACATGCTTCCCTCTTTAGCCCCCCTGGCGGCGTCTTGTTCCCGCTAGTGGTCCATATCCTATTATCCCGTGCTTAAAAAGTGTCACACAGCAGGCAAGGATACAATATTTTTTAACTCTCTGTCAGACTCATAATTGTATGTTTTCGAAGAGAAGAAAGAGGCACACTATAGCAGGGAGACATGCAATTGTTGGTTGATATGCTCAGGATTCGCAGCCAATAACATCCACTGAATACTATTGTGCACTAAACAGTACTAAATATGTAAGGGGATACATTTTGGAAGTATCTGAACGCTAATACAAGCTAATAAGTGTGTTCATGAAGTATGAGCAGGTCACCTTGCCACTAGCAAAGGACGCATTTCATGGGAATGCATTTCACCCCATCAATTGAGTGTGGACCTCGAACACAGGAGGTAGAAGTTTGAAGCGTTTGTTGGCTGCACTGCACATCATATTAACAAAAGCTATGACTAAGTGATGTGCTTCAGCATGCAACTGAAGCTTATGCATGCCCACTCATCTGAAGTCCGCTTAATCCCTAAATGTAAGGTGCGCGCACTGATGCATTCAGCTGTGCTGCAGCCATTCTCATGAATAAGATATGTCGCCGATCTGACTTTTGCTCTCAAATTAAACTTGTTTGTGAGTGTGGGGCTGGACTGCAGGACCTGAGAAATGTTCTGATGGATGAATATTCAAGGTGCTTTTGAGCAAGGCACTATAAATACTCCTGCACTGCTTCTCAATGTTTATGCACCAACTGCTCTGAAATCTCTCGAATGGACTGTAACTATGTGCCGTGCCATCCAACAAGTCAAAATGTCAGCTCAGTTTACTGATTATCAAAGTAGGATCCTTAGAATGCCTTAATGGTGCCAGCGTGTCACTGAATGGGAGGTGTAACATTGACTACTCTAAGCTCTGCATAGTTGGATCAGTGGGCCATTTTGTTACAACTTTTCTTACTTTTTATCCAATAAGTTCAGCCTAAGGCTGCAAAATATTTAGGATTTTCATGGCTGAGCCTGAAAGCACCTGAGATGAACCTGGTGGAGCTGACAGAAGCAGAAGGAGTCTCAAACAGACACGCTCGGAATATGCAACGCTGCACTCAGCAAGGTGATCGGTTCCAGAAGGACGCCGGCTGGAGCTAAGTGAGAGCTGAGGAGGGAACCGTGGACATGAATGCTGAACAGAAGGTCCAAGGTAGCATTGTGATGGAGTAGGAAGGTTATCAGCCTTGTCTAAGAGCGGTAGTCCTTCTTACTGTATGGTCTGTTACCCAGGATGTGGTCTATGTCAGAGACCACATGAGAGGTCATCTTAGGAAGGACCTGGATGAGACAAAGAATAATCACATATGTCTGAAAGCAGAAAAACATCAGAAAAATACTTTCTGTATTGATCCATAAATTGTTTTTGAAAATTGCCACTGTAGGTTTATGGCAACACATTCCCAACCCATTATAAGCGGTACTAATATCTGGTCAAGAAGCCTTTATATCAGTTTAAGTGTCTTTCCCTTTATCATTAATGTTCTCAGAAGGATCAAATCCAATGATCGGCATGTTACTCGGTCTGAAAAACCTACATATTGGTTTTAAAGCCAAAGAGTACATTTTACAAGATACACATATGCAGTGGGTGCCTGACAAAGGATTAGTATGTGATTTATCTCTATTACCTTTGCTTAGCTGGATACTTTTTGTTTTTACTGGCTGACAAGTTATTTAAAAATGACTAAATCTGACTAAAACGGACTATGAAAGAAAGCTTGTTGGGCTTTAGACTAACAAAGCAAAGCATGTGGTTTAGGTCCTAATAGCTTTGCAGTACAATACTGTACTACTGACCCTCGATCCAGTGCATCTGCTTTCATTTCCAGACCCCGTAAACTGCATTTTCCAGCTGAGAGTAAGCACTTTCAGCAAGTTTAAAAGTTACAAAACTCCATAAATGCATGAACAACTTTGAAGTGGTCGGGTGTGAAATTTCCTAATTAACAAGAAGCTGTGTTTAATTTCGAGGCCCTGCAGAATGTGATCTTCCTATTTAGCCCCAAAAAATTCAAATCTGCATTTTTCTTTTGTCTGTTTTTGCTGTTTTGTTGTATAAAGCTTTGTGTTTATTTTACCCCACCTTAGGTACTTAGGAAACTTTATCTTATATAAGATAGATAAATTACACATGATTGGTTATGTTTTAAGTGTGGCATTAATAAAAAGGCCTGTCTGACAGCCTTTAAAATATGATGGATAGAGATTGCAATCCCCCTTAATTCCACATGTCATGTGATTAATACACAAAATGCTCATACATATATTATCAACATAAGAAGCTGTTGGAGGATGCAGACGAGGGAATTCAAATAAACACAGTTTTATGTGTGTGAGAATGTTTCTACTGGTTCCTACCTGTATGGCCCCAAGGTTTTCAGTGAGCTGTTCAGGGTTGGATGTTCCCAGGAGGACTGAGCTCACTCCCTCATTTCTTAGACACCAAGCTGAGTACAACAGGACATTAAAATGAAGTCAGAGAACTCATCGTTCACCCCGTCCTCAAATGTGTCCAGGGCTATTTGATTGTTTTATTCATGTCTCATATTCAAAACATCTGTTTTCTGTTAAGCTGCGTGATCTAAGATGAGTCCATGATAGCTTTAGTCACAGGGCACCGATGTCTTACCCACAGCCAGCTGAGGCAGGGTGCAGCCCAGCTTCTCTGCGATGTGGTTAAGTTCTTTCAGCTTTGCTTGCTGCTTCCTTCCATCCTCGCTTACTATTTTCTCCTTCAACCACTGATAGGACTGGGGAGAGAGAGGAGGAGATTCAAATGGAAAACATTAGCAAGATTCATTAGTCGATGCAGCAGGAATGACCAAAACCAATCAAATTGGGAAAAGTGCAGAACAAGAAGCGGGGTGATTACAGAGGAAATAGTTTAGGAGTAGACTCGCGCCATGGTCGCTGCATGATGCGATGAACTGTTACCACTCCTGGAGAATAATTAAGACTTATTGGCTGAAGAGAAATTTAGCTCAGGTCCTCCGGACATTTAATCACAGTATAATTTAGTTTGAGGGAAAAACCTGTATTGATCTGTTACTTCAACACATGCCAGGGGCACAGGGGCACTGATTTAGATGAACTCAGGATGTGTGCTCCATGTCCTCTACAGCCGTAACAGGCTATTGTTGAATTTTATGGTCTTTCCTCTGGTTTGATGCTCACACCAGAAACTCTGTGTTGTTAAGCTGGTATCCTTTTAACTTTGAAAAGTCTTACATAAATTTAGCTGAGGTTGGAAAACCTGAAAACTTGCATTGATAAATCAAGAGACTGCCAAAGCAGGCAAGCTTAAACTTTTGACTTGTTGTGAACCATAATTGAAAATAAACAGAAAAAATACCTGCAACTGTACCTGTCCTGCTACTGTAAATTAAAAGTTTATGTTTCATAGCTCTGCTGTAACTCAGAATATCTGCATTAGGGGGAAGGAAACATGTAACCCTATGGTTTACCTTCATGGAGGCCCTTGAAGATTCAGGGATGCCATTTTCATATTTTCCTGTGATGATGCCACATGCCAGCGGTGACCATGTCATTGCCCCAACCCCTGTCACCATGGAATGCAAAGACAGATAAGATGAAATTGCCACTATTGATCCAGCATCTTAGAAATGGACTGAGAAAAGCCAAATATGTTGGCTTCGCATACCAAAAATGTATGCGAAGTACACAAACTGAGAGCAATGGTTTTGATTATTGATCCAAGGGTGTGCATGAGTGGGCAGATGCCCGTCATCATATATATAAATATATATGAAATCTTGACAAATGCAGGATTTAGACATGTGGGCAGTGTATGGACACACATTAATGCGTGTTTAACTGTAGCAGACAGAAAAATCTTTCAGCTTTTCAGAAAAGTTGGCGTTAGGAGAGTCACAGCAGTCAGGATGAAAGACCTGCAATAACCTTCCATGTTGCTTTCAACTAAAAGAAATGTGCAGACCCCCTTTCCAGTGTCATATAAGAGGTGACTGGTGCTATGGATGGATTTTCGCCTTGGGTACATCCTCAGGAAAGAATACAGCGAGTGAAGAAAAAATGACTGGCCTTTGAATCTTTTTCTCAAAGGAGTGGAAAATGGGATATTTAATCAGTAGGCGTGTTGGTGATGGAATGATTGATCACAATGCATCAATGCATACTTGCCTATTTTGTGGTAAAGTTCAGGCAGCTGCACCTCTACTTTCTCCCTCTGAAAGAGGTGATACTCCGCCTGCTCACACACTGGAGGGATCAGATTAAACTGCCTTGCCACAGAATAAGCCTCCTGGTGAAAGAACAGAGGGTGGATATAGTAATGCAACATTTATATATATAAAGATTCTTTAACATACCAACTGTTGAATATTTTCATTCAAATAAAAAATCAATCAATTCTTGTGACATACACAACTTCCTGTGTATCACGTTCCTTTTTTGGTTCTTCTTACTTTTTTGCCTTCAAAGCTTCTTCTTTCATGGTAAATCTATGATTAACCTTTCTGATAAAGTTCTGAGTTGCCTCTTACCATGATCTCCATGGCTGTCCAACGAGATGTCCCCCAGTACATTGCCATGCCTTGGTTTATCACATAGGTCATGGCTCGAACAATCTCTGTAGAAAAAAAAACACATTGCCGTGTCTTATCAGGCAGCTGGACTATGGACATTCTCTTCTCTATCATATAGTTCTACTAATACATCATAAAGCAGCCTTATAGTTGTGATTTCAAATCACTCTGTTAGTTATCATGAGGAGCAAAGTTTTAAAGTTAATCTTTCTCATGGGATTAGTCCAGTTTATTTGATTTGCACAAAAAACAAAGTTAAAAAGAGAGAGATGACTGAAACCCACAAAACAATGAGGAGGACAGACAAATGCTGGCGTGAAAAAACTCGGACGAGATGCGGATGGGACTTTGAAAGAGGAATTATTTAATTTTTCTCTAGTTTCGAGATAAACTGATAAGGAGAACAGGCCACCCACGTCCTCGGCTTTGTCTTACCTTCTTATGGCTCATCACGCATCACTAACAACTCAGGGGACGAACTAACAAGCTCATACACTGAAGTACCTCTGATCACATCTCAGTTACTGCATTTTTAATGGCACAGTTAGCTGACTAATTGCTGATGGGGCAAGCCAATAATATTCAGAGCCAACAAAACACAGATTAAGACTGTCATTATGGTTATTCATAAAAAAAGCCCGGCTCTCACTCCAATCATTTTTCTGTGGCAAGGCCTGTGTTTGAGTCATGGCAATGTTGAAGAAGAGAAGTACAGGAAAGGCATACAGTTATGAAAAAATAATGTGTAGAGGAAAAGTTGATTAGCATAGACACACATACAAAATCAAGAGGGCCTGAAAGGGCTTGAAAGGGGCTTTTGTTTGTCCTTTAGTTTGGCACAGGATAATTAACAGCCACTCTTCTTCAATAGCATCCTGCCATGACAAATAATATACCACTGACAAGAAAACAACTAATTTCTTTTCAAGTATCTCCCCTTGCCCTCCTTCCTCTGTTTTCACAAAATGGTGTGCTCACATTTAAATGCAACCTGCCACCATTTCCGGACAAAAGTGTTAATGTAAGAGGACTGTAAGACTAGTTTGAGAATAAATAGAACAACACCACTAACAGAGGGATTAAACAAAATAGGAAACAAGCAACGGGAATTTATGAAAGGAAAAGTGCAAGACTTTAAGAGTCCTTCTTTACTAAATGAGGTGATGTTCAGTGATGTAACAGCATAAATTTGTGAGGGGAGAAAGGATCTTTACATCGAAGAGCAAAAGCATAATTCATCCATCAATTGTCTTTAGTGTTAATGTTGAGAAATTCCAAAGCCAGAAGGGATATATCATTTTCTGAGTCATCGTCTTCAGGACAAGCATCAGTAACACATGGCTTTATTGTTTGGCTGGAAAACATGAGACAACATAAACAGAAACAGAAGACACATGCTGATCAGCAGACTCACCTTCCATTGGAGTATTACTGTCTGGGCGGTTGGCAAAAACTACGTCTACATACTCCATCTGCATCCTTTGTAGAGAGCCCTTTAAACCTGAAAAACACACAACCTATTTAATAAAAACCTTTGTTATGTCTAACAATATCCTCAGTGCTTTGTTTCAGGGCAAAAAGGAAGAGGTGAAGTCTCACCTTCAATTATGTGTTTTCTTGACAATCCTCTCTCTGTCTCTGCTCTGATAGAAAAGAAAATACACACCTAAGAATCAGATGCCTGTCTTAGTTATCATCTCAGTTTAAGGTAGTCAAAGATTAGGGCTCACATAAAAAGCACAAACTGTCTGTGGACAGTTATTCTCCCACACAAGGACATGTTGGAGAGACTTCACGGCAGGAAAGACATACTTGACTGTAAATTTTTAATTAAAATTCAAGGCCCTGACTGATATCCGCTGTCAGTCATATGGCTGATTCATCGTAGTCACTTTTGATGTCATGACTGAAATGTACATCTCAGGCTGTTTTATGTAAATGGGTCAGTGCACTCTCAGCTGCTCATTATGGATCCAAACGCTGCAGGAGAGACCGAGCACAGAAACTTCCTCACAGGAGTGAAGAAATGCTCTGCAGTGACAGAATGATTCCTTCCTTATCACAAGACCCAGTTGGACTGGGTCTGCTGTGGGGAATGTCAGCCATTGTTTGCGTTATGAAACAGGTGTATTTATTCTCATATGTAGGTTTTCTTTCAAGTTGATAACAGAGGTAAAAAAAAAAAAACGATATACTGAGACAAGCAGGACTAACAGAATACAATCCATCACATATAAACTTTACATTTATTTGAAAGAAATGTGAAGATGTTAAAATATACATGGCACAATCCACCTCTGCTTGTCAGTTATTTCTTTTCTCATTTTTTCAAAGGCTCTTTGTTTAAGTCCTGGACAAATAATATGCTTGTTTTTTTTGCAAATTGATTCATGCTTTAATGCATATGTCCCAGTTGAATACACAAAGGAACATTTAAGTTTTTAAGCTTTTTTCAGTATGTCACAGACATTTCATTCAGAGAATAGTTATTTTTTTTCATTCTTACTTACTTTCCTCCCCAGTAAAGTTTTGTTGTAACGACCAAGCTTGATCGCCTACAAAGTGGAGGGAAAACACAGAATGGTGAGTGACACAGGGTGGTTCAGTCCTCTCTCTGTAATAATGTTTGTGTGGTAAACCTTTTGCTGAGTCCACTACTTTCCAAAAGTGTTAGCAGTTACATACTACATTGCCAAAAGTATTCGCTCACCTGCCCGGACTCGCTTATGAATGATGAATGGATGTGACATCCAATTCTTAATCCATAGAGCTCCACATGACCATGATTTTTCTACCCTTTGCAGCTATAACAGCCTAAACTCTCCTGTCCATAAGGACCTGGAGAGTGTCTGTGAGGACGTGGCTCGGGTTGAGGTTAGGGCTGTGCAGGCCCATCAAAAGTTTTCCACACCAAACTCTCTCATCCATGTCTTTATGGACCTTTCTTCATGCACTGGCACAAAGTCATGTTGGAAGAGGTAAAGGACATTTCCAAGCTTCTCCCACAAAGTTGGAACCGTGGCATTGTCCAAAATCTCTTGCTATGCTGAAGCATTCAGAGTTCCTTTCAGTGGAACTAAAAGCAGCCCCGCCCAGCTCCTGAAAACCCCAAACTTTACGCAATACAGTCAGACAAGTCCACACTGTTCTTGAGCTAATCTGAAGGCCACGTGAAGTTTGGAGGTCTCTAGCTATTGCGGAAAGTTGGTGACCTCGGTGCACCATGTGCCTCAGCATCTGAGCCCCCACTTGTCAGTTTATGTGACCCACCACTTTGTGGCTGATTTGCTGCAGTTCCCAATGATTTCTCCTTTGTTATAACACAACTGACAGTTGACTGTGGAATATTTAAGGGCATAGAACTTTTACAACTGACCTTGTTGCACAGGTGGCTTTCTGGGAACGACTCATTCAGTTACAAATGTTTGTAAAAGGTGTTTGATTTCATACACCTGTGGCCACGGAATTATTTGGAAAAACTGATTTGGATTATTCGGATGTGTGAGTGATTACCTTTTGGCAATAGAGTGTTTGACTTTAAAACAATTACAATTATTTTGTTTTTATGATGGACAACAAATTATAATCAATGGTTCGTGCAATGTACATTTAGCTAATGTTTTTTGCTCTTTTTGTAACAGATACTTAATAAGACCTCCTTTGATAAAGTGGTCATTACAATTTGACTGAACAAAAAAAGCTTGTCACTTGAGAACAAAAGCAGAAATATAACAATTATGGGATCAGGGCTGATATTTTTCACATGTACTTTGACATGTACGTGATATGTGCATGTATTTCACTCATACACATGCATGTCACCCACTAGCCATTAGTCTCTTTCAACCAGAAACACTCACACACATTAATGTCATAATTACCTCCAGCATTTCTTCTTGATAATGTTCCCTAGAATGATTTCGGCCCTGCAAGGGGACATAAATGAATAGACCTAATTGAATCAGAAATGTGCTCAGGTATACATTTTGTTGGTGTTTAACTTGAAAAGACTGCTTCGTAAATCCATTTGTTGATGAAAGAACACTTTAACTGTGTTTTGCCTTCCAAAAAAGTGTCACAGGCCTATAAATATATTGGAATGATTTTGGCAGGAAAGAAGTCAATTTTACAGTTGCATTTCTCAGCAAGGGATTTATATTTCTGAGCCAAAGGAAGCAGATATTTAATGCTTTTTATAGGTTATGAGAAGAGTGACTCTGCGATTCTGCTTTTTTCCCCTGCCCTGATGGTTAAATTTATAGCCCATCCCAAAACAGATGTGAAAATCATACAATATCAGATTGTTTCGATAATTTACTCCCCAGTAATGTCATGGAAACATTTAGATATGCTTTAGAAAAACTACCGTCTTTAACATCTTTAAAGCATATTAGATCTTCATCACATTATCTTTGATTGGGCACAAATTCTTTTGATATAAACTTTTCACATGCAGGAGTAATTGAAAAAAAATCAAGGAAAATGTTTCAATGGATTACTTTAGCCTGTCAAAGCCAAGGCAGCTCATTCTTTATTCTTCAATGAAAAATTCTTCAATGCTTAGAATTCTTTTTTAAATACATTTTTTGGGAAAAGACTTCATAACTCTCATCAGTTTTAATAACATATTCATCTAACAGAGCCAGGAAACACGAGACAAATATTAACCACCACCATCAGTTGGCATTTAGGCCTATGGTAAAGATGTTTTGGGAGCCACAGAGGGGCAACACACCCACAACAGATGAAAATTGTTGTATGAAAACAGACCTGCCGCCTGCGTAGACCTCAGCTGTGTCGAACAAGTTGACTCCACTCTCATAGGCAATGGTCATTAGCTGCTCTGCAACCTGCCAAGAAACCAGGCCACATATACACACACACACAGAGGGAGGAAATTGAAAGCCATGGCTTCACAATTTATTATTTATATCTATTTTATTAAAGCTGAAATCTCACCTTTAGAGCCTTGAGGATTAAATCAACTCTCATGAAGCTATGGCATTGGTTTCTCTATACCTTTTGAATAAATATCAATGTGTTTCCGACGTAACGATGTCAAAGGCTCACCAAAAACATCAATCACAGTAGGAAACTGTGGCACATTATTGAAATATCATTACTGAAGCAGTTCACTGCAAGAAAATCTCTCAGAACATGAATATAATTTGACTATTACCATACTAAAGACAATGAAATAACTGAACAACAGGGGGGAAAAAACTCACCGTCTCGGCAAGACCTCAGTATATAATCTGTGTAGGACTGCGCATAATTACACTCCACATATCCAAATCCATCAAGAAATCCATAGGAAATGTTGAAAAATGCAGGGCATTATATTTGATATCGTGTCAGTATTCTGCACCAGAGCTCCCCGGTGAAAGCTTTCGAAATGACATAATCTACAAGTAAATAGTTAAGCTTTGGTCCCAGTTTTTTTTCTTCCACAAAACTGCGAAAGCCCCAGAGTCTCTGTGAAATATTATTTACCCTATGTGGTTGAACTCTAAAAAAGTTGATGTGCAAGCTTAATTGAGCCTCTGGGAATAAAGAAGTAATTACTTTCGAGAGATCAGTTGACTGCATGGTGAACAGCAGTGTCAGCTTGCACCATGTTAGCTAACTCCTGCTTTACATAGGTGTGTGCATGTGTGTGTGTTTACAGTGTGCTGACATTCCTCCACGTTTTTGCCGACGCAGTGATCACGAAGCATGACGGCAGAGTCCAATTTCCCTGTGATAACTATTAAGCGGACTTTAAGGGAATTAACAGCACTGTCATTTCCCAGTAAAGTTTTGACGGGACCGAGATGTACACTGGTGCACATGACGCCCATGATTTTGTATCTGTATGTGTGAATATGATAAGAGAAAACGTTGTGGGAGGGCATGGCTGTGTGCGCTCATAGAGCTGTTTCAGTGGTGGCAGACAGTAGAGGTGAGAATCAATCCGCCTTCTGCAATCACCTCTAACTGCGTAGCTGTCCAAGAATGTAATTTAAAAGGAAATGATCAACTTTATTTCATGAATGTCTTAAAAAGCTTTTGTACACACAATGAGACTGCAGAGAGTAGAGGCTGCCATCGCAATCATCATTAAGTTTTGCTCAGTGATGTTCTCACTTCCTTTTGTCTGAAATAATGTTTCTTTTGACAACTGTAGTGGCTATTTTGGGACTCTTCACCTGTTTGTTGTCTCACTTTCTGCCCTTAATATAGCATTACCTACACAGAAGACTCATGTGGGGGTGGGTTAGTTGAGTCGATGAATATGTTATCCTCTTTGAATCCAATGGTATTTAAAAACTATGCCACTGATTCATTCTTATTTGCTTAATCATGTATCAATTATTTAGTTGCCAGAAGAGTAGGTGCAAGTTTACGTTTTTCAAGTTGAGAATGCATTGTATTAAACGGTAAAAGCATTATCCACCATAAATTGTGGAGAAGTACAGCTTAATGGTTAGGGGAAAACCTTTAAAAGGTATAGCTAGCACGCTCCATAAAACTCTGGCTTCAGAGCGAAGTGCATGATAGCCCGTGTGGATTAATGTGCTATAGAGCCTTTGTTTGGTACTTTTGCTTTAAAACCTGAGCAGGTTGTTTCGAGCTATAAGGGATGATGCAAAAGTATAATTAAAGCTTTGCTTCAGCTGCATTGAGCAAAAATAAAATAGCACTCTCCAAAACTTGGCCCAAGGTTATTCTGTCTGGCCTCATTGTGTAACTCCTGCTCAGTGAATTGTATGTTTTATGTGTTCTTTTTAATTATTTAATATAATTAAAAGTGTTAAAATATCTTTAGATGTCTGGGAATATACTGCACTGTGTAAGCTGTTCTTTTTAATTGATCTAATTCCTCTTTTCACTTTTTACTCTTTTTACTTTATTATAAATCATAAGGTCTCTTTGGAATGATCATTTTGAAAATGAATTGAAGGCTACCTTGATATGAGTGAATACAAGTCAACACAGACTGGATCATCAAGCTATAAACCTTGAAAAGATAAAAATATGATTCACTCATTTATCACAAAATGAGATAATTATTATCATGATTCTTTTCTTTTTTCTTAACGAAAAAGCAGGCAATTTCTGCTGTTTTTGTCTGTGACAGAAAAGTGTTTTGTTTTCTCCTTTTAAATCAACTGTACTTTCTATAATCCATCCATCTGCGAGAAATGCATCATTAACAGATGGAAATCTGTTGTATTCACAGAAAGTTCAGAGGAAAAAAAGGACTCAGAGAGATAGAACAATGTCCACATTTCAAAGTGCTTCTTTCAGTAGCTACCAGGACAAACAGAGCAGAATCAAAAGATGGATTTGTATAATGCAGTGGTTAAAAAAGAGGGGTCAGTTAAGGGAAGAGAGACTTAGGAAAGAATGAGGAAAGGAAAATGAATGAGATGTGTTTTCCCTTTCAGAACTTTGGTGAGTGAAAATGGGGAATAACTGTTGGGGGCACCAGAGGGAGGTTGTAAATAAAGAGAAGAAACATTAGGTAAAACAAAGATTTTGAAAAAATCTATCTGGTGGATAGATAAAATTAAAGATAAAGTAATGAGCACTAAACTTTTGCAACTTGTATCTACTCCTAATTTCAGCCTATTATTGTCAAGGAGCCCTTAAAGGGACATTTTTCTGGAACAGAAAGCTTGTGATGCCGATGAAATATCACATTAAATCTTTCTGGATATTTTCAACTGCTAGACACGTTTGAAGAACTGAATGTGACTGATAGCTTTCAGATGGTGAGATAAACGTCTGGAAGTCAAACACATACTGAAGCAGCCTGTGTGTTAAACATATACCTAAAGTGAACATAAAACACATGCACCCACCCTCACCAAGAGACAAACACTGAGTCATTGTAAAGTAGAAGGAACACCTGAGCGGCTATGCCTCAGGGTTCTTACTTTGTGTTTATTCTGGGGTACAAAGGATGGAGGAAAATTGGATTTCCATGGATGGAAGTGATGTGATAAGAACAAATATTTTCTGTCTCACAACCCCAGAATGAAGGCCACAGAAGCCTCCCACATACAGCCCACACAGCCTTACGAGAGGGCTGTGTGACTGTGCTGCCTCTTCCAAACTCCAAACTTGCTGCATCACAGTCAACATCATAAAATAAGCTTTTTTTCAAATTCAGCCATTTTTTTCTCCACTTTTGCCCTTTTTAAATGAGTAACCAGTGTTTACTGCTTACCCCAACATTTCTGTGAATTTTCTGTCCAGAAGACTTAGTGTAAAGACAAAAATGCACTTAAAAACACTTAAATACTACATACTTGACCGTAGCTTTAAAACAGGGATGATGGTCTTACGTAATACATTTTTAAAGATGTTTGTATTTATATCATCAGGGCCAATGTAATCAATTTTTTTGTACAAAAGAAAAAGCTTCATGAGAACATGTCTTATCAAATAAAGAATGAAAATATTTTTGGACTTTTGGTTTATAATTGGAAATCTGTCTGCTCCTGTAGCACAGATTTGGTTAAGTACAGATTCTTGTGTGCCAGGGCTGTGCATTTCTTTGCATAGGATCCCAGAACCCTCTAGAGTGCATGGGAAATATTTGGGGGCACATGATGGTGATTAAATTAAACAGGTCAGCACAGGACTTTTTAACCCTGCAGCGCTACATGAGAATGTAAAGCTTTTGATGTTGCCGAATTGTTTTATCTGTGAAGGAATGTTTTTTTCTTTTTTTTTCTTCTTGCTATCCCAAGTCTGTGTCTTACCTGCAGCGAAAAGCAGAAAAAGAATGTCTGTATAGAAACACTATTCATTGCTTAGACTTAGTACTTTGTGGCAATACAGTCTGGATCATGCAAACCTCCTAAGCCTAAACATGTGATGTAGATGGGATTAAGTTTAAATGGCCGCAGTAAAGTGACCACTCAAACCTTTTCAAAGGACCACTATTCTCCTAATTGTGAGACACTCACCTCTCATAAATGCTGCATTGCAATGAAACATAACTTTCCTTTAAACATCATCTTTCTCACTGGGATCAGTGGTGTAATATTTGACACTGATTTATTGTGAGCCCACCAGCCTTTCCCTTGTGAATCTCAGCTGTTCAAATCGCCCGAAATATCAGAGTAAGACTAGTGACAGTTGTATTGCACTAGGGACGTTCATAATGAAGAGAAAAAGAGTGGTGTGCTTTAGGGGTTACATGTGAGTGGTGTGAGTTGATGGCACTAAACCCTGAGGTCAAAAAAAGAATACTGTTACATAAGCTTTCTGTTTCTGTGTCCTCTGGGATGAACTCTATCCTCTTTTGTGTCACTTTAAGTGTGTGCATCACATCTGTGGGTGATGTCAAAGGCCAGGTTCCAAAAGCAACTTCAGAGCATGCTAATGTTCATGGAGGAGAGCGTGAAGGGGACCTGTGTCGACACACTGACACATCATTTGTGGACCCACAGTGTGTTGCTTTTCTTTCATCTGTGCACTAGTCTTAGAAAGTTTGCAAGTTATGTAACATCACCATGTTTCAGGGGTGGGATGAGGTGTCAGTGCTGAAATACTTTCCTTTCATCAAACCAAACTTGTACGTTTTGGTCATCTTTGAATCAGAAGCCACACAATTTTCAGCAAAGAGCAGACAGGCTGCAATGTACGCTTGGTGAGCCATGGCTTTTGTTTCAGTTTTGTGATTTCCTGATAGAGGACTCATAAACATTGACATCAGCTGGTCTTCGACTTGCCTGAAATTGCTGCTGACATTCCGATCGGAGCTGTTAGTTTTTAGACTGGTCTCCTTTTGTAACCTTGCTGAGTGTGCCATGTTTTGCTCTTTGACGACCTTTGTTGGTCAGTAGTTAGAGAG